GGGTGGGAAATCAGACAGGGATGTCGCCAATTCAGCTGGTTAAATTGAAAAGGTTTTTTAACTTTCACGGGGGGAAACCTGTTTATTATGATGTAGACATTTGCAGAATGTGCATGCCAATGAAATCATGGAATCGGATGGCTGGAGCTGTTTGGTAAGGGATCATCCACCGCTGCTTGCTGAAGTATTTCGCGCACTGGCCACCCAGCAAACACCACCGATCATAATGAGCCATCCGCCTCGGAAGCGCATCAAACATCTGTAATTTGTGTCTTTTTATTCCCTCCCCCTGGATGTGACATACATTAGCATGCTATTGAGTGATGATGGTGATGATGTTAGCAAGCAAAACTGTGATAAATGGCAAAACAAAAAACAGTAAAAAAATTGCAAGATGCTTGTTGTCTTGTACAGCTGAACACTACTGACCTCTTCGCCATGCACGTGGGAGCGGGGGAGGGATGGGGGGGAGGGGAGGGGGAAGGAAGAGGGAGGCTGAATGTCGGTCAGCGATGATCCCAAATTTCCAGGTCAAGAAAAGGTCAAAAAAGAGGTCCCTCTATGATGCGTTCAATCTATGGACAACTGGTCTATGACCAATTATGTAACGGGTTGGGAGCTACAGTCATCTTTGCTGCTGGACTGTCCGATTCCGGTCACTTTCTAGTGGCTCCCTCTAGGAGAGGGGGCAAGGGGAGGGGGGAGTGTTGGCATGGGTTTCGCCGTGTCTTCTGTCATATGTGGGCATCTTGGCCTCATGTGGTGATGTTACTGTTTTATTCAACCGCTGAGTCAGGATTTACCGGGTAGGGTGCCTGTCGAAAACGCTATGGCTTGCGAGGGGCTTGTGGTCCCATGGCTACCTGCAGGGGACTTGCAGTCTTGTGTACTTTTTTTGGCTCGATTTCAGAATGGACAATTCTGATCCGCCTGAATTAGCGAATGGACCAGATGGTTCATTTCCTCACCGCAGTAGGAACATTTTTGAAACATGGGGCATTGCTCACCGCAAATGTTTCATTTTCTCACCGTTTTCTCACCGCAAAACAATTCTTAAGTAGAAATGTGGAAGGGATGAGGGTTTGTTTTTGGACCATTAAGTCGTATACATTCTTAGCACCAGAACTACACCTCGTCAGTACAACGGTTGGAAAGAAGAGGAAAAGAAAGCGCGAAGTAATTTAAAGTGAAAGCCAGAAATAGATTAAGGATTACAGCGAAGTTCTGAGGTCTAAATTAAAACATTCTAAAAAGGTGAAAAATAATAAATTACAATAAATAAGTCTGCAAATTTGTTTATGCAAAAGAATGCATCCCTTTCAGCGGCTATAAATAGAGCGTT